TTCGCCCACCCAGTACAGCGCTTCGTGGCCCCATAGAAAGCGCCACCGAAGAAAAGATTCACAATTGCGGTTCTCAGAACTGCATATGGTCGGGTCCTTCGCACAGCGAATTTCGGCCTTTCGGGGCCCTTACCGGGCTCGGGACTGTCAAACAACGGCTTCGGATGAAAAACCAATCCCAGGGTAAGGGTCCAGACCGCTACATGAAAAGACCATGACGTCGGGGGCCAGGGTGTTACGCTCAGACAGCGGGCATCGCCCGAAGCGTGTTCTGAAACAGTAGTACACTAGTACAGGTCCAGGTTTTGCTTCCAAGGAAGATGAGAGAGAGAGAGAGAGAAGGAGAGAGAGACTGCGACTGCGACTGCGACCCACATTGCGCACCCTGTAGGTGCCCGTGGGTTGGCGCCGAAGCACCCACTACAGCTTATATCGCCTGGCAAGAATCGTGTTCTGGCGCGTTCCACGTATTTTGCGTGGCCCAACCTCAACAGCAAGTGAACAGTATCTCGCGCCGCACGGCCGTCTGCAACAGCTTTCTGCTCTTCCGGGGTCAACATATCTTTGGGTTTTGAAGTTAAATGGCAAATGTCGTCAATCCAGCGACGCTTGGGCCGGTGAGAGCAACGCTTGGGTCGGATATGTATATATATATATATACACGTAGAGAGAGAAAGAGAGAGAGAGAGAGAAGGAAAGAACAAACAAAACAAGAGAAAGAGAGAAAGAGAGAGCGCGAACATCCGATGAGCGTCATACACCATTCGCTTCGCCACGCCTGTAAGGGGGCCCGTCCTTGGGCAGGCGGCTACAAGCGGACCAACATTCTTGGGTTCATGGTTTCCAAGATCGACCATGTGGACAACGTCTGCGCCGACACCGACCGCGAGTCCTTTTCAAAATGGGTAGGGACTACTGTCGGCACTCGTCAATTCTCTTCCCGTACCCGTGTCGATCTTCAAGACATCCCCCCTTACCCCTCTTGCCCCTCATGATCCTCGGCGTCCTCATTTTGACGTTGGGCGAAGTCGAGCGTCATGGCTGTAGCGTCCGTGCAGAGGCAAATGAGTGCCGACTCAGGCGCGCAGGCCAAAAAATTGCGCATGGCGGGCGTAGCAAAAATCGAGGTAGGCGCAAGAGGCAAAAAGAAAGAAAGCGGGCCATGATGGGCACAGAGTATACGCCAGCCAGGGCGTGAAAGAGAGAGGGATACGAATGAGATCGAACGAATCAAGGTGCGGAGAGCCGAACAAAAGGGATCGAGATACACCTGCACAAGAAACGAAAGTGATAGCATAAGCGGGTTTGCCGTGTGTGCGTGTCGGGTCCCAGTGGGCGCAGCATCACGGGTAGGGTAAGTTAATTAGGTCGCCGAAGACCTCCTCACCCGCACGCCCCTGAGCCCGCCCACCACCAGAGTTAGCCAAGGTATGCTGTAACACGAAATAGGTATGCTGCATGGTTCAAGTGCTGCATGGGTAAGGACACGCGGACGGCAACGGACGAAACACCCCGGCTTGGAGGCTCTGTGATGCGGACATGGTCCAGTCAGCATGCCTCCGTCTTAACCTACGCTCTGCCTGTAGGCTCGCTTAGAGAGAAATGGGTGGCAAACTCAAAATGTGACCCTGTGGTCCTAAGCCACACCTCTGCGTCCTCATCCTCATCCTCCTCGTCCCATGAGATCCGACGTTGCGGCAAACGCTGCGACATCGCGGACAACCACGATCAGAGCTCTGGACCCAGTCTTTCTGCTGCATCGCTCGAGCCAGGCCGATCTGTGGTGGTGCCAGGGCCCGGAACGGGACAACATCGCCGAGTGTCAAAGAATTGCACCGCCCAAATCGCAGGGTCCTCCTCCAACTGCCTCATCATCCTCATCCTCCTCATCCTCCTCATCCTCCTAGTCCTCATCCTCCTAGTCCTCCTAGTCCTCCTAGGATGAGGAGTGTCAAAGAATCCCACCAGCCCTTTGGGCGTGAGTGGTTTAGGGAGCTCTCTCTGTTCTCAACCCCCCTTCTTCCCCTTCGGGGAGGGGTTTACCCCTCCCCCTCCCCCCTCCCCCTGGGCCTGGAGAGGTCCTTCCGCGGGTGGCCGGAGGGGTCTTTTTCGACTCCTGGGAGAGCTAAAATTCGACACCCCTCACGAGGATTCTGGCCCCGACGGGGGGAGGGAGAAAAGTGCTCCCCCCATCTGTGATCGATCGCCCGACAGATGGCTCCAAGATTCCTCCCAGACCCCTCCAAGAGGCCTCCAAGAGGCCTCCAAGAGGCCCCAAGAGGCCTCCAAGAGGCCCCCAAGATGCTCCCAAGAGGCCCCCAAGAGGCTCCAAGAGGCTCCCCCGAGGCACCCAAGACGCTCCTGGAAGCCCCTGGGTCCGCCAAGAGGCCCCCAAGACGCCCCAAACCGCCTCCAAGAGGCCCCAAGAGGCTCCCAAGAGGCTCCCCAGACGCTCCTAGAAGCCCCTGGGGCCGCCAAGAGGCCCCGAAGACGCTCCAAAAGGCCTCCAAGAGGCTCCCAAAAGACATCTAGTACTACTTCTACTACTTCGACTACTACTACTACTACTACTACTACTACTACTACTACTACTACTACTACTACTGCTACTACTACTACTACTACTACTACTACCACTGATCTACTACTACTACTACTACTACTACTACTACTACTACTACTACTACTACTACTACTACTACTACTACTACTACTACTACTACTTACTACTACTACTACTACTACTACTACTACTACTACTACTACTACTACTACTACTACTACTACTACTACTACTACTACTACTACTACTACTACTACTACTACTACTACTACTACTACTCCTCTACTACTACTACTACTACTACTACTACTACTACTACTACTACTACTACTACTACTACTACTACTACTACTACTACTACTTCTAGTCCCACCAGCCCTTTGGGCGTGTGTGGTTTCGAGAGCCCGCTCTGTTCTCAACCCCCTTCTTCCCCTTCGGGGAGGGGTTTACCCCTCCCCCTACCCCCTCCCCCTGGGCCTGGAGAGGTCCTTTCGCGGGTGGTTGGGGGGGTCTTCTTCGACTCCTGGGAGGGCTAAAATTCGACACCCCTCACGAGGATTCTGGCCCCGACGGGGGGGGGGGGAGAAAAACCCGCCCTCTTCTTTGACGCCAGAATCATTGATTTTACTACGGTTTTGGCCCCATGTTGGCCTTCTGAGGGGGCAGCGCTAATTAAAGCTCCCCTCTTCTTTCAAGCCAAAATCATTGATTTTGCTAAGGTTTTGGCCCCATTTTGGCCTTCTGAGGGGGCAGCGCTAATTAAAGCTCCCCTCTTCTTTGATCGATTTCCTCCAAGATGGCCCCAAGAAGCGCCCAGGAGGCACCAAGAGGCCCCAAGATGGCCCCAAGAGGCCCCCAGGAGGCCCCCAAGAGGATCCCAAACGGCCCAAAGAGGCCCCCCCGAGGCACCCAAGACGCCGAAAAGCCCATCAGGACGACCCTCTACTCGCCTGGGCGTCGTTTCTGGACGGGCAGGAGGAGGGGCCCGAACGACTCACACCAGGACGAGGGGCCCGAACAACTCACACCACGAGAAGCCCGAACGACTCACACCAGGACGAAGAGCCCGAACGACTCACACCACGAAGAGCCCGAACGACTCACACCAGGAAGAAGGGCCCGAACGACTCACACCAGGACGAGAAGCCCGAACGACTCAAACCACGAGGAGCGCTTTCTCTCCCTCCTCCTCCGCCTCGTCCTTCTCCCGCTCCCACCACAAGGAGGATGTACAAGGAGGCGGGAGGAAGGAGGAACAGGGGAGATATGCGGGGGCAGGCGGAAACACGCCTGAAAAACACGACTGTCGGCATGCTTCGCTAGAGTTGCTGTTTTGAGATGGGCTGGCGGGGATACGCGAAGCGTGAAGAATTGCACCTCCTCATCCTCCTGGTCCCCCTCCAACTACCCCTCGAAGACTGGGCCGCCGCGATTGTGTTCACGACGCAAGAGGGTCTCCAGGCCCTGTGTCTTTGTTTCTCCAGGACCGCCTCTGACGGCCCCGCGGCCCGATCACGGGCTCCGGAAGCCGCAGGTCGAGGAAAGACGGTGGGCGTAAGCCGGGCGCGTCCCCCTACAGGGGGACTTCGGGCGAAAAATAAAAGATTCTCAAAACATACCTCCCAAATGCTCAAACATAGTAAAAAAAAAAAATCGTCCCCAGACTACTTTTTTTACTATCTTTGGGTATCCCCCCTGTAGGGACAGGCCCGACTTCACGCTGGGATTGAACACATCGGATCGCCGGAGATCTGCAGGTCCTCCTCCCTGGCTCTCCACCTTGAGCGCCTTCCGACCAGCAGTTGGCTCCTGTCGTGACCTTCTCGCGAGGCTGGGTAAAAGAGGTCGCCCCCAGAGGCCCGAGTTCTATCCCATGTCCAGCGCGCCTCGGCCTTGCAGCGCCCCTTCCCAGAAAGCTCAGGACGCACAGGACAGGGGCGATTTCGGAGACCCTGAACCCAACAACCTTTTCATCTCTTGGGGGTACATCGTCTACGTCCGCCGCCTTCCGCCGAACTTCCGCCAGCTTCTGCAGGCGGAGGCGGCCTCGTTTCACTTCCGCCGATACCCTCCGCTGCCTTCCGCCGAGGAGAAGATGACAACTCCTTCGATCCTCGAGGGCAAAGCACTTTTTGGAACGCCTCCTCCTCCTCCTCCTCCTCCTCCTCCCTCTTCCTCCTCCTCCTCCCTCCTCCTCCTCCTCCATCCTCCTCCTCCTCCTCCTCCCTCCTCCTCCTCCTCCTCCTCCTCCTCCTCCTCCTTCTCCTCCTCCTCCTCCTCCTCCTCCTCCTCCCTCCTCCTTCTCCTCCTCCTCCTCCCTCCTCCTTCTCCTCCTCCTCCTCCTCCTCCTCCTCCGCCTCCTCCTTCTCGCGTGGGCCTGGCGGTGGCAACGCAACAGCGGCCCCCCGCCCGCCCCTCCCGGGCCCCGAGGGGGCGCCTCGTCGCCGGGGGCCGGCAGGGCCAGGGCGCCGCCGGGGGCGAGGGGGGAGCCCTCCATGGCCAACCTCGGAGGGGTACCCAAAGATCCAAGGTCAGGATTATGTTGTTCCCATCCTGCTTGAGGACCGCATCCCAGAAATAATTTCGAGCACCTGGAAAAGTATGGAAAGGGTGTCGAAACAGTGTCGAAACAGTGTCGGGCGAGTGTCTCCCCAGGGCCCGACACGTGAAAACACTTGAGTTTCGGTTCTTGTTTGGGCGCTCGAAATTCTTCCTGAGGATCAAGGCTAAATCAGGTTGGAGCATCATAACGTTAGGAGGCAACTACAATGAGGTTTTCGTCGGAAAGATGAAGGGGGACTCAGCCCCATTGGGGGGCTGTTATGCCGGAGTGGGCCTCGGATTAAGCCAGATTAAGCGGGATTCAGCGGGATTAAGCCGGAGTAAGCGGGATTCAACGGGATCAAGTGGGATTAAGCCGGATTTCGGACCAGGGCAAAAACAGAATTTGACCTCCCAGGAGTTGCATCCGATCCAAGACGAAGGTGTTGCTCAAGTTTTGGCCTCTCGGGGCCCTCGCCGGGCCCCAGGACCGACAAAAAACGACTCTGGATGGAAAACCGGTCCTGGGGAATGGGTCGAGACTTCTGGGGACGCCGCATTGAAAAAAACACGAAATCGGATCTCTGGGTCTCGCGTTGTGCGAAAAGCACGACGGGAGGCTTTGCTATATTTGCCGCCTCTGGGGGCCCTTGCCGGACTCTGGGACCGTCGAAAGACGACTCAGGATGTAAAGCCGATCCCAAGGAAGGGGTCCACACCCCAGACCTCATGACTTTGTCACAACGTCGAACCCCAAAGGTCTCGACCCATTCCCGGGGACCGGTTTCTCATCCTGAATCGTTTTTCGTCGGTCCTGGGGAACGGTAGGTGCCCCCTCGAGGCCGGAAATAGCAACAAAACCTCCAGTCGTGATTTTGTTCACAGCGTGAGGGTGGTCTGGGGGGGAACGGGTTCACGCCTCTGGGGGTCGACGCTGTGAACAAAATCGCTGCGTCGGAGGCCCTTTTGGAGGGGCGAGGGCGAGAGGAAGGACTTTTGGACCTGAAGGATTCAAATGGGCACGCGCGAAGAAAGAGCCACATCTCCCAGCGAGGATCCCCAACGTATTCCACATGTTCTGGATGTTTGTCTTCCCCTTCACTTCCAGTCGTCCCCCTACTTTCGACGATTCCACGTGTCTGTGACTTGCGTTCCCCTCTTGAGTATTTGCGCATCTGATGTAGCACGTGGGCGACAAACATATCCGTATCCGCGGCCTCGCGGGCAAAGCCCCTGGGTCGCGACCGCGCAGATATAAAGCCTTTTTCGCGGACGACCCGCGCGGAAGGTATCCGTGCGACCGCGTATGCGCGGGATCGCGCCCTGGAATCTGGACCAAGAGGGTGCGGATACGGATCTGTTGGCCGCTCGGGATCAAACGCTAGCCCGTCAGCTTGAAAACGGCACTCAACTCGCCAAATGAAGCTGGAGCTGGACCGCAAACAGTGCACGGCATCCGCTTGCTGAGGAAACCAATGCTGGATGGAGCAGGGGTGCCTGGCGTGCTGGACCCTTCGGTTGTGGTTTTGGTTCTTTTTCCAGAAGAGCTCCCCCTGGGGCTTTGGCCCGTCCCGCCGGCCACCTGGAAAGGACCTCAAGGAGTACAATTCCCAAATGTGTCGCTCAAGATGGCTCAAGATGGCCCAAGATGGCCACGTTGGCCCAAGATGGCCTCCAAGATGGTCCAGGATGGCCTCCAAGTCCGCCCAAGATGGTCCAAGACGGCCTCCAAGACGGCCCAAGAGAGTCCAAGACGGCCCAAGACGGCCCAAGAGGCTCCCCAGAGGCCTCCAAGACGGCCCAAGAGGCCTCCAAGAGTTCCTCCAGGAGAGCCCGAAGAGGCCACAGTTATTGTTTTTCCTTTGGGTTTTGAAGGTTTTTGGCATTCGCTTCTTCTCTGTTTTTTTTCCGACGACCCAAGACGGCCCAAGAGGCCCCCAAGATCGCCCCCACAGCGCCCAAGAGGCCTCCGAGATGGCCTCAGGACTGCCCAAGAGGCCCCCACGACGGTCCTAAGAGGGCACGAAGACGACCCAAGAGGCCTCCAAGACGCCCAAGATGGCCTCTAAGACAGCCCTGGAGCCCCCCAAGAGGGTCCCAAGTCGGCCCAGAAAGGCACCCCAAACGACTTCCGACGGCGTCAGACGGGCCAGCATCCCCCCAGATGGCCGAAGTTGGCTCGAAGCTGGCACAAGACAGCTCAAGAGGCCTCCAAGAGGGCCTCCAAGAGGGCCTCCAGGAAAGCCAGAAAAAGGCTAAAAACATGTATTGTTCCTAGTTTTCGAAAGATTTTGACATCTGCTTCGTTTCGGCCTTCCGACGGCCCGATACGGCCCGAGAGCCCCCAAAGATCGCCCCAAGATCGCCCAGGAGGCTTCCAAGGCGGCCCCAAGAGGCCCCCAAGACGGCCGAAGATGCTTTCAATACGCCCAAGATGGCCTCCAAGACGGCCCTGGAGCATTCCAAGTGGGCCCCAAGTCGGCTCAAAGATGCCCCCCAAACGGCTTCCGACGGCGTCGGACGGGCAGGGGCCCACCAAAACGGCCGAAGCTGGCACTAAGATGGCCCAAGACGGCCCAAGAGGCCTCCAAGAGGGCCTCCAGGAAGGCCCGAAAAGTCAAAAATCCAATGAGTTTTGAAAGATTGTGGCATTTGTTTTTTTCTGCCATCCGACTGCGAGACGGCTCAAGTGCACCCAAAGATCGCCCAAGAGGCCCCCACGACGGCCCCAAGAGGCCCCCAAAACGGCCGAAGATGCCTCCAAGACGGCTCAAGAGCCCTCCTAGACGTCCTTCAAGAAGGCCCGAAAGGGTCAAAATGGCCTCCAGGCGACCAAGATGACCTTCAAGATGCCCACGTGTTCCCCGAAGGCTTTCCAAACCGATTCGGGGAACTCATGGTCCGATAGCTTGGCAGGTCTGGCCTCAGCGTTCGGCCACATAGGCGCTTCCAAAAAGGCAGGAGGCGGCGGTGATTCGCCGTAGGCGTCTTCGATATACTTACCAGCCTCGAGCTAATCCCTGTCCCTAAGCTTGACGGGCCCAAAACTTATGGCAATATCATGGGCACGCCCTCAACATTTGAAGGGATCCATAAGATCGGCACCGAGATCAGGTGATGCCAATCATGGGCATAGGTGTCTGTTCCAGGCTGGTAATTTACGGGGCTCCAGGAAGTCCCGACCCGTTCCCCAAGACCAACTTTGCATCCCGAGCCGTCTTTGTTATGGCCCGGGGCCTGGCGAGGGCCCCCGGACCCAGACCCCCGACGTCGACCCCCAAAGATCTGGACCCCTTGCCCGGGACCGGCTTTCATTTCGTTTGTCCCCATCTCCTAAGATGGGGTTCTTGTTATTTCTTGGACGCCGCCGACTTCTCCTCCTTCTTCTCCTTCTCCTCCCCTCTCCTCCTCATACCCAGACTTAGTCATACACAGACTGACTCACACTCAGACTTACTCATACCCAGACTTACTCACACACGAAACTACTCATACTCAGACCAACTCATACTCAGACCTACTCCTTCTCAGACTTACTCATGCTGAGACTCACGCACGCCCCGTTCGCGGCCGTTTTGTGGGGATGCCTCAAGCAGTTTGCCTGTCTTCTGTCCCAACATCCTTCGCTGTCGGAGCAGATTTGGAGGATGTCTCGAGCGAGGCGCTCATTTTCACCCCCCTCAGGGGAGCCGCCAGGGGTTATCTCACGGTCCCGTTCGCGGCCGTTTTGTGGGGATGCCTCAAGCGGTTTGCCTGTCTTCTGTCCCAACATCCTTCGCTGTCGGAGCAGATTTGGAGGATGTCTCGAGCGAGGCGCTCATTGTCACACCCCTAAGGGGAGCCGCCAGGGGTCATCTCACGGTCCCGTTCGCGGCCGTTTTGTGGTGATGTCTCAAGCGGTTTGCCTGTTTTCTGTCCCAACATCCTTCGCTTTCGGAGCAGATTTGGAGGATGTCTCGAGCGAGGCGCTCATTTTCACCCCCCTAAGGGGAGCCGCCAGGGGTTATCTCACGGTCCCGTTCGCGGCCGTTTCGTCGGGATGTCTTACACGGTTTGCCTGTCTTCTGTCCCAACATCCTTCGCTTTCGGATCAGATTTGGAGGATGTCTCGAGCGAGGCGCTCATTTTCACCCCCCAGGTGGGCCAGATTTTGAGGATGTCTCGATCGGTGGCCAGACTCGTGGGCACAGATCCTCCTCAGTATGCCACAGGAAGCTCCAACAGGCTCCAGGATGCCCCAGGAGACCACATGAGGTCCCAGGAGGCATCAGGAGGCCACAGAAAGACTCAAGAGGCCGCAGGATGTCCCAAGACGCTCTAGGAGGCCCCAGGAAGCTCCGGGAGGCCTCAGGAAACCACAGGAGGCCCCAGGAGGCCAGAGGAAGCGCCAGGAGGCCTCGGAAGGCAACAGGAGGCCCCGAGAGGCCCCAGGAGCAGGAGGCCTCAGAAGGCAACAGGAGTGGCTCCAATCCCATGTGTTCTACGTATGCTCCTATAGATTGGGCCTCACCTGGAGCACGAATCCTTGAGGTTATACGTATGTTTCTATACATTGTCCTTCTCCTGTGTACTTGTGTTCCTGTAGGGCCTCTCCTGGGGCACGAGTCTTTGGTGTTTTACGTGTGTTCCTATACATTGCCCCCTTCTCCTGTGGCTCCAATCCGCAATGTTTTATGTACGTCTGTTGCTACTGTTTGGGCCTCTCCTGGGGCACGAATCCCCCCTAGGAGGTCCCAGGAGGCCCCAGGAGAACCCAAGAGGCTCCTGGAGGCCCCAGGAAGCCCCAGTAGGTTTCAGGAGGCCCCAGGAGGCCCCAGGAGGACCAAGGCTCATGCGCAGAGACGCGCTCGTACTACTGAGGCTCATTCATACTCCAATTCATTCTCAATTAGATTCATGACCAGACCGTCACAACGGAAGCCCGTTTATGTTCGAAAGCTCTTGCGCCTAGACATTCACGGCGGACAGGTCCATGCGAATAGATGCACATATAGGGGAGCTCCACGCAGAGAATAATTTGAAGAGCCTGGGGCCCGGTACAGTAGGGGCCCTTCCACAAGAAGCCTCCCAGAAGAAACCCAACCCCGAGACCCCAGGACGTCCATTGACTTTTTGGTAGCACAACAATCGAAACCCAAGAAACCCAACCCTGAGACCCAGGATCGGGTCGGGCGAAAGGGGGGGATAGCAAAGGGGAGGTTTGAGAATCAGCTCACGTAGCTGATTTTCCCGGCGCCTCCCGGCGCCGGAGGCGGCTATGTATCGAGGAATGGGCCCCTCGGTGAGGCCGAAACCAGCTGCATGCAGCAAATTTCGTAACCCCCCCTTTCCCAATCCCCCCCTTTCGCCCGACCCGACAGGACGACACGCTGTCCGTAGCACAACAATCGAAACCCAAGCAACCCAGGGCTCCCTGGAGTGGCGGCAAGCAGGGTGTTTCTTGGAATGGGTCTCCACTGCAAGGGCCCCCCCCAGAGGCCGAAAATATGGACAAAAACATCCCGTCGTGATTTCTGCACAGCTCGGGGGGTCTGGGGAGGCCGAACACGTCCGAACCTCGCGTCGGGATTTGTTCGCGACGCGGGGCATGCCTGGGGAAGCTGATGTGCCGATTTTCCACCACCACTACCCACAGGCAGAAGAAGGGGGAGGAGGAGGAGAAGGAGGAGGAGGAGGAGGAGGAGGAGGAGGAGGAGGAAGAGGAGGAGGCGGAGGAGAGGGAGGAGAGGGAGGAGGACGAGGACGAGGGGGGCCTCCCAATCCTCCCTTTTCCCTCGTTCTACCTATGATAGTGGTGGTGGCCCATTGGCCCACCAGAAGACTTCCCAACCCGTGCGGACCGCTCGGCTTCCTCGGCGGCCCGCTGCTGCGTGAGCCTCTGCAGCTCCTGGAACAGCTGGCCGTTCTGCTCCGTCAGCCGGCTCAGCTCCTCCACGGCGGGGAAGGAAGGGAGCACAGAGGGGGAGAGGATGAGACGAAATCCAGACATTGTCGCTCCGCTACGGAAATCCAGGGCGGGAGTGTACTAGCCGTTTTCGGCCCCTCGGTGGCCCTCGTCGGAACCCCGGGACCGTCCAGAAACGATGCAGGATGAAACACCGGCCCTGGGGGAACGGTCGGGACTTCCCCGGCGGGGGGGGCATATGGAGAAAGCAAGGCACCGCAGGTCTGGGAAGAGATGGCGGAGGAGGAGGAGAAGGACCGGAGAAGAGGGCGCACGGAGCGGAAGCCGGGGCCGGTAGAGGGAAGGCGACGCGCAGAAGGGCGACCAGGAGCAGGACAGACGCAGCCGGAGGATGAGGTCGAACGCGAAGAGGAGGAGGCGGAGGAGGAGGAGGAGGCGGAGGAGGAGGAGGAGGAGGAGGAGAGAGGAGAGAGGAGGAGGGGAGGAGGAGGAGGAGGAGGAGGAGGAGAGGAGGAGGAGGAGGAGGAGGAGGAGGAGGAGGAGGAGGAGGAGGAGGAGGAGGAGGAGGAGGAGGAGGGAGGAGGAGGAGGAGTGGATTTGGGAGGAGGTCGAACACGAGGAGGGCTCGAGGGCCCGAGGGCGGACGGCGCGGGTCGCAAGCGGCCCGGCCGCGCGGCCCCGCGCCGCGCGCCCTGCTGGGCGGCGTCGGGCCGCGGAGCCGGCGGGCGCTCGCAGGCGGCCGCTCGCACGGCCGCCGGGGGGGGGGGCCGCGGCGGGAGGCCGCGGCGCCCGCGTGCGCGGCGGCGGGCTTGGACAGCCCGAAAGGGGCACGGAAAGCAGAGCAAAAAATTGCCAAGAATAGTCGCAAAGTCGTCCCCGTTTATTGACTATTCTGGAATATTCCTCCTGTAGAGGGACAGGCCCGACTTAACCCTGGATGCATTTGTGTTGGCCGCGGTTGCGAGTCGAGCGCTGACTCCCGGGCACACTGCAGCCGGTGACGAGGAGGGGCCGACGAGGGCCCGAGGGACCGGCGCACACGCAGCGGGGGCCAGGGCACGCACGAGGAGCGGCGGAGGGGCCGGGGCCGAGCAGGGCCGCGGCCCGCACAGGGACACACCTTTGGCGTCGGCGGCTGGGCAGAGGGCGACTGCTCCGGCGGGATGGCGACAGGGGGCACGCTGTATGCTTCGGACGCCCGCAAGGGGTACGGGAAAAGGGGGTACAATGCCCAACAACAAAGGTTGTCACAAACCATCAGCGGCCGCTGTTGGGCAGGCGGCCTTCTGTCTCAGATGGGCGCAGGCCGCGGCGGCGCGGACAGCGAGTCCGGTTCAGAATGAACAGGAACTACTGTCGGTCTTTGTACCCATTCTTTCCGTACCCATGTCGGTCATCCCGAGCGGGGGCGGCGAGGAGGAGTGGAGTGAGAAGAGGGAGGAGAACCAGCAGCAGGGGCAGCTGGAGGGTGCAGGCCAAGCGGAGGGTGGCGGAGGGGAAGCATCGAGCCGGGGACGAAGAGAGCCAGGAAGGACAATCTGGCCGTCAGCCGCGTAGCACGCGGCGGGACGCTAAGTCTCAACCGGACAAGAAAATGTAGCTACATATCAAACGAGTAATCATTTAGGGTGTCGCTTCGGCTTAGAAGCCTTGGCTCGAGGTCGTGCTTAAGGTTGTGGGCTTGGGGTGTAAATCGCGATGCTGTTTGGGGGGAAGGGTATGGGGCATCAGGTAGATCATTGGCCTGGAGCGCCGTGGACGCAGCGGGGCGGCAGGATAATGGGGATGCTCCTCTCTCATAACATGGCGCCTCCTCCTCCGCCACTCCTCCCCCTCCTCCCCCGGTACTTGCTCGCGCCGATACTCCCCCTCCCTCGCGGTCACCCCGCTCCTGCCCCTCATAATAATCAGGGTGGTGGCAACCCTGATGGGCCTGTCTTCCGCCAACACCACCATAAGTTGGAGGAGGAGGAGGAGGAGGAGGAGGAAGAGGAGGGGGAGGAGGACCCCGTCCCCTTCTGCCTTATTGTGGTGGTGGTGGTGGAAAACAAACCCATCAAACCCTTTCTCGAAACGCGCCGCCCCCCCCGCCGCAGCTGTCCTGGCCCCCCGCTCTGCGTCTCTGGAGGCCACCCGGGGGCCTCCGGAGGCTTCCTCTCCGCAGGGCTCCCAGGGCACGGGGCGAGCAGCACACCGCCACGCCCGCAGCGCACACCGTCAGAGGCGGCGAAGAGCTTGAGAGATCCACCTACCAAAAGTGGCTCTGCTGCGTTCCTGCTCGCAGCGCACGCACACCGCCAGAGGCGGCGGAGAGCTTGAGAGATCCACCTACCAAAAGTGGCTCTGCTGCGCTCCTGCTGGCAGCGCACGCACACCGCCAGAGGCGGCGGAGAGCTTGAGAGATCCGCCTGCCAAAAGTGCAGCGGCACAGACGTGCTCGTCAGCCCCGCAGGGCGCCGGCCTGGCCGACGGCCTGGCCACCAGCGTGGCGACCGCTGTGGAGGTGGCCTGCAGGCTCGCCGGCGGCAGCTACACTGTCCATGTACACTTGGGGCGTTGACCTAAGGACCGATAATTAAGGAACGAGGCCCCTTTTTCCCATAAGTTTAACTTCGATTCCCCACCGAGAACCAGAGGAAAACCCAAGGTAGACTGTACAACAACGGGGGAACACGGAGCCCCTCCCAAACGGAAAGGGTTCCTTCCTCAGCGCCCCGACTGTAGGTCTGGTGGAAGTTGCGCGGCGGCGTGGAGACAGCCTTGAAGCATCGCCTTCGGAACGGCGTCCCGAAAAACGCCGCGTTGCAGGTTCCCGCAGGCGCCCGAGAGGGCTGACGGCCACTTCTGCGCGGTGCGACTTCCAGGCCTGGGGAGTTCTGCAGACAAGAAGTCTCTAGAGGCCCCCGGTGGCCTCCAGAGAAGCAAAGCGGGAGACAACAGAGAGAGGCGGCGAGGGGGGTGCATGGAGGGAGGATGGCAATCACCAAACTATGATCAGGAGGCGGAGCGGGGTGACCGCGAGGGAAGGAAGGGGGGTAACAGCGCGGTCAGAAGGGGGTGAGGCGGGAATGGAGAGGGAAGAGGCACGAGGAGGAAGATGCTGAGTATGATTGAGATAAGAGGATAAGAGAAAATGAGGAGGAGAGCTTTCCTTGAATACGGTACGACGGACGCAGGAACCTGCTTCACCTAGGGGTGTTTGCGCAGAACCGAGCTAAACACGCGGCGAACGCATCGACGGTCAGCGAAGCGAGCCTGAGCCTCGCCACAACGGACCAGGCAAACAGGTTGATACCGCTGGTAACAGGGAAGCTGGTTTCAGTATACGTCGATAGCTGTCTTCTTCTAAACTCGGGAGGGCTAGGTACCGGCCCTCGCGCCTGCGTCCGCAGGCGCTGCCGAAAAAGAGTGGGCTGGGAGACGTTGGAGGACTTTCAAGGAGGGTGGAGTGCCCAGAGCGCCAACGACGAGGATGACCAGCAGCGCCATTGCTCTTGATGGTTTTTCCTCCAAGAGGACGCGCGCACTTATCTAAGGGTTCTTGCTTGGGTTGCCCAGGGTTGGACGGGCCCCCCGAAGTTTTGCCTGGTGCCAGCTTGGTGGCGGGTCGTGGGCGCCGGCGCCTCTTTGCGTGGGTCTGCCACAGCTTCGCCTGGTGTCCGGCTGGCTGCCCGTCGCGTGGGCACCTCGCGGGCTGCCCGTGCACCAGCCGGGTCCGCCAGGGGTTTCACCCGGCGCCCGGGTGGTGCCCCGTCGTGGGCGCCTCGTGGGTAGCCCGTACACCAGGTGGGTCCGCCGAGGCATCGCCCGGTGGGCCCGTCGTGGGCGCCTCGTGGGCGGAGCAGTGCGATGGGTGGGACCGCCAAGGTCTCGCCCAATTGCCGCCCATGGGCGCCATCGTGGGGCCCCGTGTAGGTTGCACAGCACAGCCCGCACCACGTGGCTTGCACCACCAAGCTAGCACCATATTATATATGATATATATATATATATATAGACTGTCGCACATTGCTTGCGCCCGACAGGTTGCAGCATGATTGAACCATATGGCCTCCACCACGCACATTGCACGCACGTAGCTTACACAGCATGGGTTGCACGATGCATCCTGCATCACATAGCTTGCACCACACTGCTTCCACTACGTAGCTTGCAAACCATAGGTTGCACCACACTGGTTCAACAAAGCTTCCACCACATGGCTTCCACCACACGCATTGCACCACATTGCAACGACCATATAGCTTGTACCTCATCGCTTCCAACACATAGTTGGCGCATGCACAGTGACAAAATCACTGTTTGGGGTCTGCATTGGCAAACATTGCGTTGCGGTCCTGTTTGCGCTGCATTTTTCCAGCTCGGCGCCTTATTGTTTGAGCTGGGGCTCCCGCAAGAGGTTTGAGGACATTCAGGGAGGACGTGGTGCCCGTGGCGCCACCTGCGGTGACCAGAAGCAGATCTTGCTCATTCGGCGCCGAGGATTGTCGGTGCAGTGCATGTTGCGAAGGAGCTTGCTCTTGCCCTGCAGATCTGTGCATTGCTGCTCGCATAGCCTGTGGTGCACTGCAGATCTGACCGATTCTTGCTCGTATTACATCATCCGTGACCTTGCGCTCAAACATTGGGCTCAAGGCTTCTCTCCGCGCACCCACTCATCCTGCGCTCAATCACCACACTCCGGTTCGCGAGGAGGTGGGAGGAGGGCGAACAGAACGGCGACAAACGAGCAGCAGTTAAACCAGAAGGAAAATAGAATAGGGTGAGGGGGTAGGAGGAGCAGGACCGTGACGAGATAGAGGACGAGAAAGTGAACAAGGACGAGAACGACAAGCATCATTAACATGAATAGAAGCAAGGGCGACAACACCAACAGCATCAGCGCGACGATACGAGGCGAAGCGAGGGAGGGCGGAGAAGAGAGGGAGCTGCATCAGCAGTCGAGTCTCAGTCCTGGCGCCCCAGAGCAGAGCGAGGCGCTGGAGCCCGAGAGCTGCTCGTTCCAAGCGGCTGCTCGCAGGGCGGGCTGGGGCACGGCAGCTCGCATCGGCCCCCCGACCCCTCACTGGGCCCAAACGCACTGGGATCCGTTAGGTCGAGCATGTCCTCCTGCAGGCGGATGTTGGACGAAGTGTAGCAAAACATACACCCCAAAATGATGGAACACACAGAAGCGTCGTCCCAGACAATTTGCTGAAACTGGTTTGGGATATTCCTCCTGTAAAGCCCGTCGTAAAACTACCGCTATCTCAACCGGCCCCTCTCGGAGCAAAGCGCCGCAGGGGCAATCGCGCACGAAACACATGCTTCCGTATACCGGCGGCCTCGCGAGCAGGGCGCCTGGGCCGCGGCTGCCCGCGGATCATCTGAACAGCGCCTCGGGGATGCCGCGCGCGGAGCGCATCCGTACGACCGCGCATCCGCGGGATCGCGCCCTGGAGTCCAGCACGCGAGGGCGCGGATGCGGACAGTATATGTTCGCCGCTCGCGAGGCAGTGCGAGGGAGGGAGGAGTGCACGGCTTCCCCCGGGGACGTAGGCGACCCGAGGAGGAGGAGGAGGAGGAGGAGGAGGAGGAGGAGGAGGAGGCGGAGGAGGGAGGAGGAGGAGGAGGAGGAGGAGGAGAAGGAGGAGGCGGAGGAGGAGGAGGAGGAGGAGGAGGAGGGAGGAGGAGGAGGAGGAGGCGGAGGAGGAGGAGGAGGAGGAGGAGGAGGAGGAGGAGGAGGACGGGTCGCCTAAGCCCTTCGGAGAAACCCTCCAGGGAGGAGCCCCGTCCCGGGCGATCCTCCGTGCGCACCGAGTAGAGGTCGAAGGTCACCAGCAGGACGACCAGCCAGGCAAGCAGGCCCGGGAGGACCACAGCGCCACGCTCGCCGGCCCAGTGCCAGAGCGGCCCCAGCACCCCCATCGCCTGGGCCCGCGGATCGGCCCACCTGGCGCTGCAGCGGAAGGCGGCGCGGATGCGGCACGCGCTCCTGCCCTGCCTATCTCTCTCTCTTTCTCTCTTTCTCTGCCTCTCTCTCTCTCTCTACATGTGCCGCGCTGCGCTGCTCTCCTGACCTCCCTCCCGACCGCCCCCCTCTCCAGCCCCCATCTCTCCCTCCCTCCCCTCCCTCCCTTCCCTCCCTTCCCTTCCCTCCCTCCCTCCCTCCTGCCTCCCTCCTCCCTCCCTTTTACTCCACCACGTGGCCCCATCCCTTTCGCACCTGCACCCCCATGCCCTGCCACTCTCCAACCATCCCTTGTTCCCCTCATTCCCTCCCTCACTCTCGTCCCTGCCCTCCCTCCCCATCTTCCTGCTCCTCCCCCATCCCATGTCGCCCCCAGTTCCTATGCTTCCCTTTCCTTCGCTGCCTCGTACTCTACTCGTCCCTCCTCTCCCATCCCCGAAGGAGACACAAGACGGGGAGGTGGATTTCAGAGCTCCTGAGACCAACGACGTGGCGCAGACGTGCCTGAAGATACAGGAGTCCGTCGGCCCGCCTGGGGGCGCCAGGTTCTCCCATCCCCGAAGGAGACGTGCGACGGAGGAGGATAAGGAGGAGGAGGAGGAGGAGGAGGAGGAGGAGGAGGAGGAGTAGGGAGGAGGAGGGAGGAGAGGAGGAGGGAGGAGGAGGAGGGAAGAGGAGGGAGGGAGGAGGAGGGAGGGAGGAGGAGGGATGAGATGGAGGAGGAGGAGGAGGAGGAGGAGGAGGAGGAGGAGGAGGAGGAGGAGGAGGAGGAGGAGGAGGAGGAGGAGGAGGGAGGGAGGGAGGGAGGGAGGGAGGGAGGGAGGAAGGAGGGAGGAGGAGGGAGAAGGAGGGAGGAGGGAGGAGATGGAGGAGGAGGAGGGAGGAGAGAGGAGGAGGGAGGGAGGAGGAGGGAGGAGAGGTGGATTTCCGAGCTGGTGCGGCCCAAGACGTGGCGCAAACGCCTCGAAAGCTACGGGAGTCCGCCGGCCCGCCACTGGGGCGTCGCAGGCTCTGATCCAGGGCGGGCCGCTGGACGCTGGACTGCTGCCTTGCGCTGCGGTCGGAAACTTTTGCGGTTGCGTGCGGCGGCGGAGGCGGCGGCCGCGACGACACGCTACACTACCAAACCTCCTCGCGCTGTGAACAGGATCACGACGGGAGGTTTTTCGCTATTTTCGGCCTCGGGGGGCCCTTGCCGGGCCCCGGGGCCATCAAAAAACGACTCAGGATGAGAAGCCGGCCCCGGGGAAGGGGTCCAGACCTCTGGGGGTCGACGTCACAAAAAATGGTGACGTCGGGGGTCTGGAAAAGAACACGCGAGAGGACACAAGACCCTTCCGAGGGCCACACTGCCACAGGCATGCAGAAGGCATGGGTCGCGAAGCAGAGGACACAAAGAGCACCCTTGATTTGGCAGGGTCGATCTGCTGATCAGCCTCGACTGTGTGCCCTGCAAGCGGATAGCGTGTCCCTCCGCTCCGCGGGCAGGGAGGCTGAAAAAGGCTCGGGGCTCGGGGCGTTCAGCTGCAGGACGCCCAAAATCGCTGTAGGGAGGGGCAGCCCGTCGTAGCTTCGTCCTCCGCCCCTTCGGTCGGGGACTTTCGTGTTGCGTGTCGCGGCGACGGCTACGCCGACACGTTGTGCCCTGCAAGTGGATAGCGCGTCGCTCCGCTCCGCGGGGCGGGAGGCTGGGAAAAACTCGAGACGCTGACGCTCCGGGACGGGGACGCGAGCAGCATATCGCTCCGAAGCGTGGTAGGCCGGAACGGCGGCGCGGAATTGCACGTCGCTCCGCAGCGTGGCAGGCCAGAAGCCGTCGGCGCGACACGCTACGCCAAATGACCTGACCGTGTGCTGTCTTTGCGTTTGGCTCGCAGTCTCTCCAGTCCTGCGCCCTCTCTACTCTTTCCGGGGGGCGGGTCCCTCAGAATCCTGGCCGCTCTGGTTTGCACCAAGATTCCCAGATACGTCCAACGCCTCGCCGCCCTCGCGTCAGACCCAGGAGATGGGGTAGCTCCCCGAAGGGTGAGGCGGGGGCGGGAGGAGGAAACGCTCGAAACCGCCTGCGTCCTGCAGGGCGGGCGGGAGCAAGACATAGCGGCAGCAACACATTGGACAGGTACGACACACCAAACGCTATGTTTGATTAATGTTGCTCAATGTGCTTGGCCTGGGCGTCCTCGGGTCCTCCTGGGCCATCTTAGATGCATTTTGGGGCCGTCTTCGAGCCTCCTGGGCTGTTGGCCAAAGATGGCTCAAAGAGGGCCTCAGAGAACCTGAGATAAGCTTCAAGATGGTTCAAGATACCCCAAGATGGCTCAAAATGGCTTCCAACATGCTCCAAGAGGCTCCAAGAGTGTGCACAGACTGGTCCAAGATGCTTTGAAGCTTACCCAGGACGCCTCCAAGAGGCCAAATTCATATCATCAATGTGTTTTGCCTTCTAGCCTTTTCCCCTCCAATAGACTTTGGAAGCCTCTAGATGGCTTCAAGATGGCAGGATGGGCCCAAGAGGGCTCAAAGACGGTCCCAAGAGCGCCGAAGAGACCTCCAAGAGGCAATTTGAGGAATCATCGAGGGGCGCCGCGTATTAAGGACGCCCCACTTTTGATCGGTGGCCTCCAATGTATCCCCAAGAGTGTCCCAAAAGGGCCCCCAAGCACCAACAAGGCCCCAAGACACCCCAAGACAACTGCCAAGAGGCTCTCATATCGGAAGATCCGCGACATCATGTATTGTTGGCTCCTGGGCCTGCTCAGGCCGATCCCGATCTTCGGTTGCACGGGTGCCCCCCCCCCTTCTTGACCAACTGCGTGCTCCCACACTTCCCCGATCAAAGCAGCTCGCGTGGCATCGCTACTGCATGGGGTAGAGATGGTATGGCCCAAGACGATCCCGAGGCGGCACCGCTGCAATCGTCCTGGGTGGCCCGACAGGGCTGCGGGATGGCTCCACGCTGCCTCCAGGACGGGGCCCGGAGGCCGCAGTACAGCCCCAAAGCTGCCTCAAGATGGCCCGAAGACTGCGCCGGAGGCCCCAGGCTGCCCCAGGATGGCCCCCGAGCTGCTCCAGGAGGACGGCAGGATGGCAGCTGCGGGGGGGGAGGATGCACCGCCGCGCCTCCTCGAGGATTGCCCGGGCACTCCCGAGGCCTCCCTTGCCGCAGGCCATCCTCCTCCCCAGAGTGTCCGAGGCGGCGGCACTCGGCCGATGGGCTTCCCGGCCCGGTGCCCGCGCCTCTGACCCGGGCCCGAGGCGCCCGTGCTGCGCCGCATGGGGAACGGGCGCACAGCGAGAGGACCTCTGCCGGGGCGGCTCTTCGCTCGAGAGCTGCGGCTGGGCCGGGTGTGCCCGCAGCTTGCTGGCGGGCTTCGGTCGCGGCGTCGGCTTTCGTTCGGCCACGGCGGCGCTGGACCTCACCTGAGATGTCCTGCGAGCGCTGTCCGCTTCAAGCGTCGGTGCGGCGCTGTGGTGGCTCACACCTTGCCTCTGAAAGTGGTGCGGGGCCTGTGCTGCATTTGTGCGGGCCTCCGCGCGCTCGTACACGCCGGGTGCGTGGGGGAGCAGTTCGAGGCCACGGCGGCCATCATAGCAGGGTGCAGCGGGGCCACCTCGCTGGCGCTGCTGGGGCCGCTGCGCACGGCCAAGGTAGGCAGGCCCGTGGTCTCGCTCGGGAACTGGGTTGACGACACCATGGTGCACGGCACTGGCCCTGGGGATCTGGTCGCCGCGCAGGTGGCAGCAGCGTCGCCAGCTTGATGTGCTCCTTCGCGGAAGGGGGCCCGCCGCTCGCGGAGACGAACCGGTACTTGGCCAGCGACGGCGCCCTGGACCAGCTGCCCAGCGCTTCCCGACCGCTGCCGCCCGCGAAGAGGGCGCAACTCCTTGAAGGCTCTGGGCTCCGATCACGCGGCGGGAGGCCGTCGCAGCGTGAGCCACGCAGCAGGCGCGGGAGCAGGAGGCCAAGAGGCGAAGTGGCAGGTGCAAGCACGTTCGTCAAGCAGGGGTGGGAGACCCAGACGCCCGACGCCAGGACTGCTTCACAACGTCGACCCCCAGAGGTCTGGACCCCTGCCCCAGGACCTGTCTTTCATCCCGAGCCGTTTTTTGCCGGTCCTGGGGCCTGGCAAGGACCCCCCGAGGCCGAAAATAGCTAAGAACCCCCCGTCGTGATCTGGGTCTGTAAGGCAGGAGTGGGAGATGCTGGCATGCTGCAGCGCATGGACGCGACCGGCAGCGCCCGGTGGGGCGCGGCTGCCACGGGCACTGCTGGCAGCAGGCTGCAGGGCCTGCGGGTGCAAGAGCGACGGTGGCTGCGGGGCGCCTGCCACGCGTGGGCAGCGCTGGACCTCCCGCCTCCACAGCCATCCGGCGGGGTGCAAACTGCACCCGCTCGTGATCCACAGCACGAGTGTCATCTGGATTCGAACAAGACAAAAACGCCATGAGCATAAACTTTTGGCGCTCCGCGCGGATTTCTTGGATCCGCGCTGGGGCCCCCCGGCGACAGCTCCGCGCGCCAGGGAGGGGGGCCCAGCACGGATCCAAGAAATCCGCGCGGAAGGCCGAAAGTTTATGCTTATGCAATGTGTTGTTCCTCCCTACGTGTGGGAGCAGCAGGTGAAGCCAAGAGTGCTGGAGCTAACGCTGGCGGCCGCGGTGACGAAAGCCAGCCGTCCGCAGCACCCTGGGAGGACGGCACTGAAGGCCTGCAGGCGCTGGTCTTCTCACCATGCAGCGCCTGGGTTCGCTGTTGCACGGGCCTTTCCAGCGAGGCAGACGAGAAGGTGCGGCACGAGCTGAGGCGCTCGGGGCCGCGGCAGATCCGGGAAGAGAGTTAGGAAGCAACTGCTGCTTCGGAAATACTAAGGAGGATTAAGCCCCATTGCGGGGCTGTCACGCCAGACAGGGCCTCGGATTACGCGGGATTGAGCCGGATTGAGCGGGATCAAGCCGGACCACGCGGGATTCAGCGGGATGAA